TTGAGTGAGACAGATAGGAAACAACAGTGATAAAAAAAATTATCACTTTGATCTCTCTTTAGGCAAATAATATAGCCTATTAATTACTTACCACAATAACATCCTGAGACAGGAAGTGTGCCATATTTCAATCTTCCACTGATTCATAGCAAAACATCTCAGCATAGACTCCACACTGAACCCTCTGTGCACAACACTAAACATTTATATATGACAAATAAAATCACTCAAAAAAAACATTTCACAGGCTACAACACTCTTAAAAAATAAAGGTGCTTAAAAGGTTCTTCACAGCGATGCCATAGAAGAACCATTTTTGGTTCCACAAAGAACCATTCAGTCAAAGAACCATCTCTTTCTTACCTTTTTATAATCTGAAGAACCTTCTTTCGCCACAAAGAACCTTTTGTGAAACAGAAAGGTTCTTCAGATGTTAAAGGTTCTTTATGGAAACATTTAGACAAAAAGGTTCTTCTATGGCATCGTGAAGCGCCTTTATTTTTAATAGTGAACTACACTCAAATGAGTCATTTAAGTGTAAATGCACAACATAACTAGCCTATAATATTAATATAATATTCATTTTAAAATGAACAGTTATTTCGAGATTAAGGTAGAGGTCAAAAATTACAATCCGTACATTTATTTTAAAACCGCTTTCTTGCAGTATTTTAATTGATCAAATCTAAGAACTGTACTACTGAAAAGCAAAAGTGTCAAAGAAAGTGTGTGTGTGAGAGAGAAAAGAGTATTATTTCCTGTCAGTGTCTGATCACAGAATGAGGGATCGAAAGCAACACTGAAATTCTCACTGATCTGACATTGCAAAACTGAGGAAAAAATAACTCATCAGGGAGACGGAAGCACAAAGAAACAATTCAATTACCCGAAGCACTCTTCAACACTATGCAATATTTTACATTTAGATATGAATTAAGTTGAATAGGTACAAGATATGTCATCAGTGCACTGCTAGTAGAGAAGAGACGCTGAACTGCTACAGTGAAACTAAAACCGACAGCTGAAATGTACCAATCGTATCAGTTCACTCACAAATTGTGTTTCAGCGACATCTGGTGGTGAAAAAAACAATGACTTAATCTCGGTGACTAGAGGCAGACGGACAGTAGCCTATATAAAAAATAAAATATTTCGGGAAAAAATTGTTAAGGTAATTCCTGTTATGCATTATCCTTCTGCTTGTGTTGTAAATGAAGTATTTATAATAAAGCGCGCAGCAGACTGTAGTCAAGCTCAGACATTGATTTTAATTTGATTATTTACCTACTCTGTGACAAGAAAATGAACAGGACTCAACATGCCAGGATGCAAATAAAGAGTAAAAAGAGGGATTGAGAGTTAACATGAAGGGTGTGCATTTGAACATCACATAAGATTTTAGAGAATCTACTTCTAATATTTAGGCTACCTACTACTGCTGTTTTCCCTCAAAAAAAAAAAAAAAAAAGCCACTAACTGGCCCTACTTAAAAAGATTAACATGATATACAGTGACATTTAGAAACATAAGAAAAACGAAAAAAAAAACCAACAACAAACTGATTACTAATAAAAACAATAGTCTTCTTAATAAAACACGTTTTGTTGTTAATATTGCTTTTTAATAGAAGTTGAGGCTTAACAAAATCGTCCTCCCAAATGGAAACTAATTTAAAAGTACGATTCATAAATTAAGTAGCCTAAATTATGCCTTTTAAATTCTGCAAATGCAAGTTGTTTTCTTTTATTGTTATTATTTAGGTTAGTCTGTAGGCTATTTATAGCCTATTTAGCTTGATATAAAATCCATATGAGTCTAATCAGTTCAGATTATTTAGGCTAAAATCATAAAGATAGCGTAGGCTATACAAGGTGCTATTTTTAATGCAGATAATAAATACAAAATGTGTTTAGGTTTAGTGACTGATTGTTTCAGACTGTCCTGCAAAGATTAAATCCAATGTCTTTTCCGCTTCAACTGAATTTTGCGAGTCACTGAATTTATTTGATTCTCAATAGGCCTACCTGTTGGTCAAAGAGCGGATCAGCGGACTCTGATCAATCCGTGTATCATTCGATCATTCGTTTTTTTATTTAATATTGAAAGTAGAACAATTAGAAAACGGCTCCTTTTTCGTTTTTTTCCAAAAAACGAAAAACGAGAATTCAGCTTAAGTTTTCATTTTTCGTTCATGGGTGGAAAAATGAATAAACAGCTTGAATATTCGATTTCTACACTGTTTATTTATTTTTCCACCCATGAACGAAAAACGAAAATTTAAGCTGAATTTTCGTTTTTCGTTTTTTGGAAAAAACGAAAACGAAAAAGGAGCCGTTTTCTTATTTTTCTACTTTCAATATTAAATCAAAAAACGAATGATCGAATGATACACGGATTCTGATCTATCTTACGGTTCATCTTTTGTTAGTGCAGTAGCTACCTGGCATACTGTTTTTCTATATATGGCTCTATTAAGTACAGGTTTCTGTCTCCAAGCAAC